TTTTTCCTCTTTTTTAACACGATCAACCATTTCTTGCTGAGTTAGGGTGTTATCTTCTGAACGATAAGCAGTGAGACGAAGCAATAAGTCTCTAACTCTGCCTACTATTTTTCTCTTTCGTCCCCGCTTTTTTTTGGGTTTATTAGAAGGTTTTAGTTTTCGATAAATGGTCTTTTTATTTACTCCATAAATATCGGCTAATTCTTGCTGAGTAAATCTTTGGAGGAGTTGAGTGAGGATGCGGGAGTTGGGGAGTTCATTCCTTGTCATTTTATTTTTGAGTAGTTTTCTTGCTTTTTAGCAAAAAGTAAATAATTATTCCTACTAATAGCAAAATGACTACTACTCCAATTATCCAAGGTCAGTAATTAGTTGATTTTTTAGGATTTCCTCCCGAACCCCCTCCTCCACTTTGTTGTTGGTTTTCTAGTCTGGATAATTCTTGCCTTTTTTCTTGAAGTTCCTGTTCTTGGGCTGGTGTTCGGTTAGTAGTTGCTTCTAATTGTTGAATGTCAACTCGTAGTTGGGCAATTCTGCTCTCTCTCTCTCTCTCTCTCTTGGTTGTCGTTGTCATCCCTTAGAGAAGCAGGTAGTTCTCCGTATTTGTAACTGTATTCCTTTTTAAGTTTGTTTAACCTTTCTTCTATTAGTTGCCTATCGTATTCGTTAAAACTGGGATGATTTTTTGGGAATTTCTTTGCTGCTTTTAAACCCTTCAAGGCTGCATTTATCTGTATTTCCAAATTTTTTTTGTCATTTTCATTAGAATCGCTTGGCTTGTTCTTTCGAGCTGATAAACATTCTTCTTGATTATGCTCTCAATTAGGGTCATGTTCTCCATATTCATTAGAAAACATATATATTGTGTTTTCACATTTTGGACAATATTTGGCTATTTCATCTGCACTATAACTGGAAGTGCAACAAATTTCAGCATGATAACTACCATTTTCTAATGCGACTCTTTTCTTAACTTCCCAATCTTTTAGTTTGTTGTATTTCTGTTGACAATTTTTACAATTAAATATTTTCTTTGACATATTATTTTAAGATACTCACGGAAGCCTATACTTTGGTCATATTGCTTCCCCTCAACAGTTATAAAGGGTTAGTGTAATTCATCCTGTAAAAGGAAATTCTTTTCCTTTCTTGAAATTCTCTACAATTATTTTCAGCATTTTAACAGTCGGCTGGAACAGACAAGAAATTAGTAATCGAGGACTAAATGGGTCATATTTTAACGGGATTAGATATTCGTAGTTCATAACTTTTATATATTATAATTTATTATGAACTTTCACATGAACTCTAACTAGGACTAATCTCAAAAAAAATAAAAAGAGAATATAAGGACAAAAAAAGAAAGGACTAAATTGAAGTCAAAGTATTATCGTATAAATAGGAACGAAAAACCTTTCTTCTGCCTTCGTCAGTAACATTTTCTAAGTATTCCCACTTATCCTGTTTATAAATAAAGAGAAGACATTTATCACAAATAAATTTATCCTTGTGTTCTTCTTTCATTGTCCAGTATCCTCAATTATTTTTCTCAACATATTTACCTTGACCTCGATTTCACTTAACTTCGACGGCAGAAGAGCATTTGAAACAATTTACTATCAAAGGTCTTTTCAGTTGAACTTTGGGCTTTTGTTTGAGTTGACTTTTAATTTTATCCTTTGGCATATTTATTTTCTAAAAACGAGCAAGGGTTTTGAATTGTGTAATAGTTAGACTCAGCGTTGGCTCACGTGGAATAGCTGGAGAATTGAGAATTAAGGAACTTGAAAAAGTAAAATTGCCGTGGGTATCTAATCCCAAAATCCAAGAAAAGTTATTTAACCTTCTAGACAATGACTTAGCGAAATTAATCAAAGAAAAACTCCTCCGAGTCAATATTCAGAATAAAGAAAATGGTAAAAATTAAAGAAAAAGATTGAGAAAATTATTTAGTTAGGAAACTGCAGGAGTGAGGATGAACAAAATTAGATACCATTGCTCGACAAAATAATTATGAAGTAATTGACCAAGACATCCTTAGCAAACAATTAATTAAGTTAGATTTTGCCAGCCAAAAGAAAATTGTTGACGAACTAATTAGATTTCCTTCTTCTTATGACAAAATTGTCGAATGCAATTACAAAATTTATCAAAAGTTAAACAAGAGTATTGATTACTTTGAGGCAAATTCTCAGTCTTATAAAAAAGTTTACTTAATTGACCAAGACTGAGAAAAAAATGATTTTAACTTTGTCCAACAATTTAAAGTAGAAAATCCTGCTAATAAAGAATTTGTGGTTTTTGACTTAGTGCTATTCATTAATGGTATTCCACTAACCATTATTGAAGTAAAAAATTGAAGCGACGATGAAAGTGATTGAGAAAAGAGACTAAGCGATTCTCTTAAGCAGATTAAAAGGTATGAAAAGACTGTTCCACATATTTTCAATTATCTAAATTTTGCAACTGTTTCTGTTGTTCCTCATACTTTTTATTATGGAATTTGTGGGAAAAACAATCCAATTTTCTACCCATGAAAAGAAGAAGAAAACAATTACCTATTCGCTCGACAGAATTTCTTTGATATTTGTCAGACTTTCACATTGTATGACCGAAATAAGGACAAATTCATCATTCGTTACTATCAATTGAGAACAATTCACGAAATAAGTCTAGAAACCAACTTGCTCGGAGTTATTCGACACGCTACCGGAAGTGGAAAATCCTTTTTAATGATTTGCTTCGTTAATTGATTAAGAAAGCAAGGAAAAAAATTTTGTTATTTATTTGTGGTTGATCGCTGCAACTTAGTTGAACAGTTTTTCAATAAATTCGAGAACTTTAACCCCTTAGCCGAGTTTAACTGTTTAAAAATAGAAACAGGAAAGTTATTTTCTACTATTAGTCGTAAGCAAGCGGATAATTCAATTTTTTTTACCACAATTCAAAAATTTAATCAAGAAATTAAAAAAAATGTTCCCCCTAATAAATTTTTAGTAATTGTTGACGAGGCTCATCGTTCTCAACATGGAGAATTTGCTCAAATTATGAGGAGTTTGCTTCCCAACGCTGCTTTTTTGGGACTGACTGCTACCCCCATCACTAAAAAAGAAAGGATTACTTCTGAAGCCTTTGGGGAAAAAGAGTACATTTATACTAGCACTCAGTCGGTAAGAGAAGGCTTCAACGTTCCTTTATTTTATAAACTCATTAAAGATCAGGCCATTTTAGAAAACAATCCTTCCTTGCGAAAACAATGAAAAAAAATCCTTGAAGAAAATCAGGACTGAGAGGAAGAAGCAGTTAAAAAAATCTTAAATAAACAAACAAATTTAGAGACTCTAATTTCTAGCCCTAAAAGATTAGATTGAATTGTCAAAAAATTTTTTCAAATTTACCAAACTATGAAAGAA